TTATGCATATTTTAAAAAAATAAAATAAAGCATTCCTGGGGCTAGCAGATGGCATAATGGTTACATCACAGGACTCCCACATAGTCAACTGTGGTTCGAGTCCTGGATCTGGTGGCTTAAACTCATATCAGGCATGTGTGAGTGTGTGTGTGCCCAAAATTTCTAAAGGACAATGGAGGAGAAGGGATTGCAGTGTGGCCATTCCCCCCCCCACCCAGGGGGTGACTTCTTGCTTTCTGTCCCTTTGTCTGTCTGTCTGTCTCTCCAGTAAGTGCACGCTCCCTATAGCAAAAAATCTCTCTCTAAAAAAGCATTCTTGTACTATTGTTATTTGTAATTTTTATAAAATCATTATTATCAAACTAACTATGTCCTTTTAAGAAAGCCAATGAGACATAGGAATTAATCAAATTAATGGAAGGCACAACAGGGCTTTTTAGCTTCCCATGAACCTTACCACAGATAGACTGAGAGGACTCTCAGTAATGGAATTTTCCATTCCTTCATAGCATGATACTAGGGCAGGGAGGTTTTTAACATTAAAGCATTACTCAGTGCAGAAAATAACAACAACAAACAAGGTCAGAGAGATCATCAGATTTATTGGCAGTGTGGAAAAAGGCATGATTTCCAGAGGCACCTTAATTCATGAAAAAGAAAGTAATTCCTTCAAAGTCCAGCAATAGACAGAAGTCCAATGATAAGTATGACTTTTCTCTGCCCATATTATACCCTTTGTTAGATGCCAAATTGCTTTAGAGTCATGTCTCCAGCAGGCTTGGGCTTGGTAATCCACCCAATTAATGAAGGTCTGTTCAGTGAAGCATTCTTTATTCCTTTTTAATCTCTTATTTTCTTGCTTCCCTCCCCCAACAGAACATGTTTCAGCATCAGTCCTGTTTCTATTTTCTCCTCAGTGGCTCAATATAGGTCTGGAGGTGTCACTTAAGTTTATTCACTGCCAGGCCAAAATGTATGTTTGGGGAAAGTTATGTAGAACTTGAAAACCAAGGGTAGAACTGACAGCTATACTACTCAGTCCCAGATGACACACCCCAGTGTTATTATAGGTGACCTAGGGCTTCTCATATGATGTAAGAGTTTGATCAGAAGATGGGAACATGGGCACAGTCCCACTCAAGCAATTATCAATATATCATTCGTTTATTCATCCACTCAACAAAAATGTACTGAACTCCATGATAGTCCCTGTTCAAGAGAGTAAGACCAAAACAATCTCTGCTCTCACACAGCTTCCATTTTCTGTTACTTCCATCTAGGTTGCCAGGATAAGTTTTCTGCCGAATGATATTAAGATTAATTGGCAGATCCATGCACTAAGAATTAAACTGAAGTGCCTTGGCCATTCCACTTAACCCAATAGCTAGACATCGGCCAATAATCAGACTTACTCTAAATTTAATATACATGGGCCTCAGGGTAAGAACTTGCATGCCCATTTTTAGAAATGGATATTAGAATAAAATCAATCATGTCTGACTACACATCTCCTGCAAGCTGTAATGGCTGAGGTCATTTTTTTTCTTCTTGAGCCCACTAGACTTATGGTTATAAATAGCCTCACTTACAACAAGCTGTGGTGAGGTTAGAGGGAAGATTTCAGGAGACGTGAGGACCAATCTGCTGGGAAAGGACATTGAGGAATAACTAAACTACCGCCTCTATCCTGTCCATTACGGAATACACAACTATGTGACCAAAACATTGAAAATCACAGGCTGCCATGAGAAGAGCCTCTTGGTTAAGTGGAGGAGGCAGACACCTTTGAGATATGATAACGTGTATAGTATCCCTGACTGGACTGCTACGAAAGGTACTCACGCTGGAAAATGAACTTAACAAGCTAAGTGATGTATAGCGATGAAATGTATAAAAGAAATGAAAAGAAAATACATTATTAAAAAAATCACAGCTCCAGTACTAAATATTCTCATGAAAAGGAATGTGTTAAAACTGTTTCTTTCTTCAGTTTTCTCTTTTGGAAAATTAGAGATAGTAGTTGTGTAAACATCATAGAATGATCATGAAGATCAAATGACTATCCACATCAAGCTTTAGTAACCAGTAAATGTTAAAAACAGAACAAGGCCAACTTGATAGCCTAGTGGTTAAAGGTAGCCAGATCCTACATAGCTGACTGCATGGTTTCAATCCTGCATGGTTTCAATCCTGGCTTGTAAAAAACATGCCGAGCGTGTTACAAGCATGCTCAAAATCCTGACGGGGTAAAGAAAAGGAGAAGGGATTGTGATATGGACATGCCCCATTGGGAGGGTGCTTTCTCTCTCATAAGTGAACAAGTTCTGTGGCAAATTTAAAAAATAATAATAAAATAAAAATAAAAATAAAAAACAAAAACATCTGCCCTTAGCAGAATTTCCTTTAGAAGAAATAAGGTCTCATAGATTCTATTCTAATCTTCACCAAATAGTGTAAAGATCAGTAGAACAGATACAAGGAAAGGTATTTTGAATTCCTAAAAGAAAAAAAAAAGTACATATTATTTGTATTGGGTTGTCAGGAAAGTCATGACATGTTTTTGCATAGAAAAACATAGAAAATGATGTCATGACTTTCCTGACGACCTAATGTAATATTATCAATATTATAGTCAAATTTATTATCAGCACATCCTTATGGATGGCGAGGTTCTGGCCACTGGTTTATTACAAGGGCTAGAAGCCAGTTTTAGACTACTTCATGGATAAATCGGCACAGGGATGAAGAGATGAGAAGGGGGCCAGAAGGATGGACAAGATGAACACACTTTTCAAGAATCACCAACAGACACAGTCAATACCTATATGATTCACGGGTTATAAGGACTGCAAGGATTCTAAAACCCTGTACTGTGTGTTTCATTTATGAGTTAAAATTCTGTTTTTCAGGACCAGCAGTTAGTGTAATGGCTATGTCGCTGGACTCCCATGTAGTCGACCGTGGTTCGAGACCTGGACCCAGTGGCTTAAATTCACGCTGGGCACGTGTGCATGTGTGCCCAAGATCCAGAGAGGAGAATGGAGGAGAGGGGATTGTGGCGTGACCATCCCCCCTGGGGGGTGACTTCTTGCTTTCTGTCTCTCTGTCTCTCTCTTTCTGACAAGCGCACGTGCCCTATAGCAAAAACCTCTCAAAAAAAAAAAAAATTCTGTTTTTCTTTGTTTTGGTATCCAAAGCAGCTAAAATCCTAGAAATACCCTTTGATCTTAGGCCACTCCACACGATATGATTGTGCAATACACTGAACACAGAGATTGAAACCATGATAGGACAGGCAGCTGCTAGGGCTATGCCGAAAGCCTGTAAGAACCTTTGGAAAGAAACCAAGGAAGAAGAGAAAACTTTCTATGTCTGTCTAGACTTCATCTCTCTAGAACTAAACCACATCTCCCAGGGCAATTGCAAGAGGGTGATAATTAGGATTAGCTACAAGGTGGCTATCTGCCAACTCTATCTCATAATCAGCCTTCACTTATTACCATCTCTCTCATGACACCATCACTGTTTCAACAGCTGAAAATAATGAGACAAGAGACCAAGAAACTAACTAGCAAACCATATTAGATTCAGCTGTTCACCTTCACAATAATCAATCACAAATTCTGACTGATCATTGGCGAGAAAGTGACAGGCGATTTTAAACTGTCTTCAGCAAATCAATCTTTCAAGCTAATCATTAATGGCACCTCAATAGGGAGTGGTATTTGGAATGAGAAGTTTTTAAAAATTATAAGTTTCTCAATCTACTACAATGAAAGTCATTCTTTTTTCTCCTCCTCTCCTTATTTTTAATTTTTAAAGTGTATTTATTTCTTCCACAAGAGAGAAGACAGAAACAGAAACTCCCCACAGGGTCTTCAAGCCACAATCCACTTCCAGCATCAGCTGGCTTGGATCATGGACATTCATAAGAGCCCAACGCACTTGGGGAGGTCCAGGATACAAATCCAGGACCTTTCCCATGTGGATGCAGCTGTGTTACCACTGTTCTACCACTGCTCTACCACCTGGCCTCAAAAGAGCCACTCTTGTGCCAGCAGGTGGCATGGAGGTAAAAGCACTGGATCCCATATAGCTGGCTCTGTGGTTCAAGTCCTGGACCTGGTGGCTTGAAAATCCTACAGGGCATGTATACATGCCCAAAATCCGGAGAAGAGAGTGGAGAAGGGATAGTGGCATGGCCATAGGTATGATCCCTTTCCCCCCGTCTCTCTGGCGAGTATACTTGCCCTATAGCAAAAACATTTTCAAAAAAGAAAAGAGAGCCATTTCTCCATGCAACTGAAAAAAGGGTTTCCAGTGAAATATCAAGTTTTGAAAATGTTTTTCAAAAAGTCTCTTTAGCCTAATATGGATTACCCCTGTATTTCCTAAAGTGTGACAGCCATCTCACTTGCAGTATCTAAGAACATGTCAGCACCTGGATAAAATGTTATAGAAAGGCTATGTATAGATTTTAATATTTTAGAAAATATGTAATTCTATATTAAGTCCATGGTTTCACAGGTATTATTTACTTGGGTGGGCCACAATGAAACAGAAAATTGATTCAAAGAAAAAAAAATTGAGTAATAGCACAGGTGCTTATGGATGTGGCACAAATGAGAGAGGGTGGGATGTTCACTAGATGACCTGACTGTGGGCTTCATGCTTTATGAGCAGTTGTATTAACAGAGGGGCAGAGAAGAGCAGGGATGCTTTGTTGTCTTAATAGGCTCGGACGTGAGAAAAAAGAATCTGCAGATAACAATAGGCAGTAGGTCAATAAAAAAAAAAGATTTAAAGTGTCCTATTTTGTAGAGAACACGTCTTTCAGATCAACAATCCTCCTAAAAAACTACATACTGCCCCCTACATTATTGGTGCTTAGTAAGCATCCACATCATAGATCGTGTCTGAATAGACGAATACCATGAAATATCATCGCCCAAGTTCACATCTGAGTGGAAGAAAACTGTCCATCCAGAAATGACACCTACCTTGGGCACAGTCTTCACATGGAACAGTATATTAAAAAGTGTCCATCGTTGGCCTGCAAGACTGCAACATCGGATGTGCTACTGGAGCCATCGTGAGCATAGAGGAGAAGGCCCCTGGAGAGCTCATCTAGCCGGAATTGATAGACAGGGGTTGCAGGGGACTGAAGTGTTTGGAGCAATTGGCCATGAAGTGGAGGATCAAGCACCTCAACGACCACATCCTGTGGGTTGTCATCATCTCGGATGTCAAGTAGATGAGTGGTGATGGTTCCCCTCTCTCCTCTGCTTATGTGGAGAGCCTCATTTCTCAGCACATAGGGAGCCTGTGAAGTTGAAGAGAAGGAAAAAAGGAAGACTCCTTTAGTAGAGAAATAGGTCAATTTAGTGGACTAGATACAAGTGTGTATAGCCTGATTGATACTTGTTTTGTTAAAGAATCATTTATTTTATTTATTATAGTCATTATTTAAATTTTTCTATAAGATATGTGCTTTCACCAGAGAAAGAGAGAGAGAGAGAAAGTGAGAAAGCAAGCCAACAGGTCCAAGACTCAAACCATAGTCGTCCATGTGGGAGTCCAGACCCTTAACCACCATGCCACCTGCTGGCCCCAATATTCGACACTTTTTTTAGGTGCTCTAGCAAAGTGCCCAACTATTCTATGGTGAAAGCCACAGAGGCGTAGTCACAGAAATCACAGCACTGGAGGTTACTTCATACCTTTGATTTCTAGAAGTTTCTTAGACCACTTCAAAACTGTAGTCTTGACAAGAGGCAACTAATGAGAACTGCTTGCTTCTAAATCTCTAATATTCCTATTATATTTCTTTCTTTCTTTTTTTTTTTCTTTTTTTTTTTTAAGATTTTTGCCATAGGGCACTTGCACTGATCAGAGACAGAGAGAGACAGAGAGAGAGTGGGAAAGTGAGAAATCAACCCCCACCCCCACCTGAGGGGAGAGTCACACCACAATCTCTTCTCCATTCTGCTCTTGGCATTTTAGATACACACACACACACAACACACACACACACACACACACACATGCCTGGCATGTTTTTCAAGCCACCAGGTCCAGGACTTGCACCACAGAGTTGGCCATGTAGACTCCAGCATGTTCACCATCACATCACCTGCTGGCGCAACTGCTATCTTGACTTACACTAGATTTTCTGCATGTTCAGTGAGATCAACTCACTGTCAGGAAACCCAATCAAGTGTCTACATCCAAAAGAGAATAATAAGAGGTATGGAATTTCTGGACTTGGCGTTTGGGAGTTATACACTTCACTCCAGGCCACGCTGCAGCACGCTGACAGAGTAAGATACTTCTGCATTCTGAATTCATGCTATCTCTGGCTTCTCCCACTAATTTTTTTCAAGACTTCTCATCCAAATCTTGAAAGAATGCCACCGCAACTCAAGTTATAAAGCCTGACAAGATCATAGGCTGGGTAAGGCAGGCAACCACCTGGATTACTCACATGGCACTGCTAATACAGCAATATTTTAATATGTTTTTCTTAGGATTGTCAAGATTTCCCCTGCCAACTTGAGTAAGCAGATAAAATGTTCTTTCATAAAGATAAAAGTTAATGAACCACAACAGAAAAAAACTCACACACATGCAAAAAAAAAATGAAGACAGAAGCCAAAGAAAATATTATCTTAGTTTTTTATATCATTTGAAGTCGAATCATCCAGGACTTTTTTTAAAACACTGCCTTCTTTAATCCAAGTAGCTTTCTTTTAAAACCAACCAAACACCCTACTGACCTTCTGGAAATGAAAATATCGATTAATGTCTAACTAATACATCATTATAGTAATCACAAAGTGGGAAATTAGATGATAGCTACTCCTTAGAATTCCTGAACTATATTCTGAAAGGGGAAAGGTCAAAGGTGATGTCAAAACCTCAAGTGAAAATGACCAAATTAACTTACATGAGAAAAATCTTTGGGAGGTTCAAGACCTTCCAAAAAAATCACAGAAATTTAAAAGAACAAAATAAGAACAAAAATAAGATTAAAAAAACTTTTTTTTCTAAAACTCCATTTTTAAAAAGCTGAAGTGATAGAAGTTTTTCATACAATAAATAAAATTAAAATGTGCCCTCATTATCTATTCACTTGATTATGGGAAAACAAACAAAGCTTGAGTGACCATGGAAACATAGCACTTACTCTCTCAGACTAGGAAGTCATTTGCCAATGACCCAAGGTCTTTCGGTGGACTAACTACACATTAGTTCAATGAAAGGACAAAACAAAACTTCTGAGTGTAAGTACTAAGAACATCTAAATCAGTAAATAACATTGAATGTCACCCTTTGGCCCACATTTACAGAGACAATATGCTTTAGCTTTAATTAAAATGTATATACTTTGCCCTCTCATGAAATGAAATCAACTTAGGATCAATTTTCCTATCACTCCTAAACTCCAAATCATCTCTGATGTGACTATTCCAACAAGAAGACAATATCTGGGTTATTAATACCATTTGGCAGCCACTTTTGGTTCAAGTTTATGTTACTATCTATAGTACATGACCTTTTCATTTTTACACCCAAGATATAAAAATATCAGTTCATAAATAATAATCAAGTGTCTTTCCTTGAGTCATGATTACAAAATAGCGAGATCTGGATTTAGGTTGTCTCAGTTCTCCAGGATGAGGTCTTGCTGTTCACAGCATATGGCAATATCTGTCTCCCTATTCTCTTCACGCATTTTAGCTGCTAAACCTCTCAATCCCAGTTCTCAGAACATCTACCAGTACATGTATTCTGGACACATAAGTGCGAGCTGACAGAGGTGAGTGATGAGAGGTGAGTGTGAAAGGCCATTATGCCAAGCTTTATGGCATCTACAGTGATTTCCTCAGATCTGTGTTTGGCTGATGACTATACTGGCACCTCACTGAAGAAGAGTCCTAATAAAATCTTTTACTGAAAATTCCATATCCTGAGAGAGGACTATTTAGACAAAACAAAGCAAAAATAAGAAAAGTCTTAACAACTAGAACAGCTTCAAGTTGTTCTGAAGGATAGTATCAGATTCAGTATATAAAATAACCCCCACCCCCCACCCCATGATGTGCTGGTTTAGAACACAGACTGTAGTCAGATTTACTGGGCACAAATCCTGACCCTCTATTAGGTATACCACCATAAACAAGCCACTTAACCTCCCTGTGACTTGGTTTCCTCTCCTATAAATCAGGGATAATAACGCCTCATAAGATTGGCATGAGGACTGAGTTCTTTATGTGAAACACTAAAAAGGGTACCATAGATGAATTAGAAGTTGTTATTGTTGTTATTATCACCCAAAAGTCTTCATAATTATTCCAGTGGCATTTCACGGGGAAACTAGGGCAAGAGTAATTGAACTCAATCATTTTTGCTAAAACTGCAAGAAATTTTAGCACTTGAAAATAAAAGGCATGTGAAGTTATTAGTTTTTTGGTATTTTTATTACCTGTGTTGAAAATGCTTGTATGTTGATCAGCTGTGGCTCAGAGAAGAATTGTTGATCACTAATTTTCAGGGAGAAGTAACCTTTCCTAAAGAAGTCCCCAAGAAAGAAATGAGAAAACACAATCATTAATTTATAATCTATAGAAATAAGAGAATTAAAAATACTTTTAGGCTATATGTTTGTAAGAATTTAAATCAAACTACTACACTAATGTAATAGTCACATTCTAAGTAAAAGTCATCAGATGACGAATATAGTGAGATACAGATAAAAATACTGTGTGTTCATAGTTCTCAGCATAACAGCAGCATCATAATGATAATAGTAGCTCTGTAATTATTTTGTTTCTAATTTTTCTAAACATAATTTTACAAAATGCTGAAAAATTAGTTGTTAGGCCAAGACAAGTTAGTAATATATTGTAGGCTAATGGTTAAATTGAAGAACAGGGCGGAATCTTTTCAAGTTTCTGACCAGTTCTCAATGGTTCATTTTTCCAGCAAACCTTCTCCCCAGCCCCTTCCCAAGACACATGAGTGAGCCCCCTATAATAAGATCTGTAGGTCTGTATTACATAACTCTACCTCACTCTCCCCCTCCTCCTCATTCATTCTTAGTGGACAAGACTGGGAAAAGATGGCTGATACTTCTCTGGTGATCTGGACCTGACTTGAGAGCTGCCAACCTCACCAGTTGAGTATGGGGCAACCAACCAGAGTTTGCCATGTTGATGACAATGTGGAATAAGCCTGTCTGTAGCAGAGAGGTGAATGAAGCCCAAGAGCAAAAGAGACAGAGATGAGAGAAGTCCTGCTTCCTATTCCCAGTACGAGCTTCCAGACTCGTCCTGCAACACAATTACCTTTGATGTCTTTGAAATCTGAGCCACCCCTGCAGTGTTATAAGAAGCCTTGATTTTGCTTAATCTACTTCAAGTTGATTTTCATTGCTTGTGACCAAAGAGCCCCAATTAATAACAAGACTCACTCTGCTGTGGTCTCTTCTTCCTTTACCAGAGCATTGTTTCAACAGTTTTACTGACTGCTAAATGGAAGGTAAGAATTGGCTACTTTCAAAATCAAACCAAGCACAAAACTCACTGCTGGCTGGTAAGATGTTTATGAATTCTGGTCTACTACAGGAACCATTGTCTTAAAGGTTTTATTTATTTATTTTTATTTCTTCTTATTATTTTTTAAATATTTGCTATAGGGCATGTGCACCCACCAGAAAGAGAGACAGAAAAGAGAGTGAGAAAGAACCCACCAGGTCTGAGACTCAAACCGTGGTCTGCCATGTGGGATTCCAGCTCCTTAACCACCATGCCACCTGCTGGCCCTGTCTTAAAGGTTTCTAAAAAGTTTTTTGGGGGAACTAACTACTTATATATAAAAGAATGTGGATGGATCTCAAAAGCATTATGACCAATGATCAAAAACAAAAAATGACATACTTTTAGATTCCATTCACATGAAATCTTAGAAAGAGCAAAACTATAGGGGATAAAAATAGATCAGAGGTTGCTAGGGACAGGAAGGAAAGCGTCTATGATAAAAAGATTTTTTTGGGGGTAATGGAACTGTTTTATGTCTTGACTCTGGTTGTGTTCACAAGACGATAAGACTTCATGCATTTGCTAATACTCAGCGAGCAAAAAGTACACTTTACAATGGGCCAGACTACTGAATACAAATTATACCTCAATAATCCTGATTATTTTTTAAAAGGGTATGTTTGTCTTCCTTCCTATTGCATCTTCCCCTTCATTTTCTGCCCCATTTAAATCCCGCCCCTCTCCACTCTTACATCCAGGCTTTGAGAGAATGCAACTGATGAAAGCAACAAAATGAACAAAGAGGTGATTATGTCCAACCTCCTGGGGAAAAATTATTTTTGTTGTCACTAAGGTTCTAATAACAGTGTTCAGCATCCTGGTCACTACAACTGTAAATGTAGTTGTTTTTGACAAAGAAATCCAATCCTAAGAATCACAGTCAGTGTTTTCATGGAAAAAAACAAAACTGAACACCAACTTATGTTGCAGGTCGCCCCTTTGGTTTTGTATTATCCAGAGACTTATATAAACTTTGTTTGGTCATGAGTTTCTATGGATTTTATTTTACTACTCCCCTTTTGTTTTAATTTTTAGGTAAAGAAAACCCAGTATTAAAATGGGTACCTAAAAAAGAGTAGTGCAAGAAGTTTCAAAACTGCTATTCTCTGTCCCATTTAGGAGTATAAAGCTAAGATTCTTCAAGAAAACAGGTGATGAACAGTAAAAGCAGTTAAACAGATAAGAGAATTAACTTTGGTGGTCTACGACGTGGTCTGCTTTTTACATATGAGCCGAAGACAAATGACTACAGGTACAGGTCTGTGTAGCTGTATTTGTGTGTGTGTGTGTGTGTGTGTGTGTGTGTGTGTTTGTGTCTGATGCACACACTTGTAGCAAAAGTGAAAGCAGAAGATGGAGTAGGAATGTGAAGAGTGAGTCTATGGCATCAAAAATTAGAGTGGTAAGCTCCCCTCTGCAGCAAACCTTCTCTATACAATGATCCTTTACCACTGTGACTACAGACATGGGCTGCTGAGGCACAGGCTTAGGTTGTAGTCTCAGCTCTGCATTCATAGGTTTGAGGTTTGGGCACACTTCTTTCCACTCTTAAAGCCTCAGTTTCCTTATGCATAGACTGGGAACACAGTATATATTATTCATGTGGAGTCCTTAGCACAACGTCGGGCTCAAAGTTAGCACTCAGAGTTAGTCGCTCTTATTCTTATAATGTGGTCTTTCGAGGATACTGGTATCACCAGCTCTAAACTACAATAAAATGTCATCTACTTTCCTTCTCATCTATTTCCCAGGCAAAACCTATAACAAATGAGCAAACCCCTCAAATTTAGTGTTGACAGCAGAAAATATTCACTGTACCCTTATCACTGTTCCATGGATTTCAACTCTGTTTCTACATATCATCTACGCTGCTGAATTCTCTGCTCTAATGAAGCAGAGCTGGGGAAAGATAATCCAAAAGCCTAATCTTTAGGGTGCATTCTCTGATTTCTGTTTAGTAGATTTACTCTGCTAATTATATGGCTATATTTGCTTGGGTGGGTGCTAACGTTCAATTGCATTCCTGAAGCATATGTCAGCTGGGGTGGGGAAGATAGCCAGAAGTGTGCTAAGGATCAGGAGAACTGGATCAGGCTTAAAAATTAACCACAATTAATCCCATAATGTGGATAATAAAAAGTTAACTGTGACTCTAAGTTTTCTTCTAACTCTGAAATTCTAAGGACCACAGAACACCTTTGGAGCTACGTGCTCCATCCGCTATCTTCTCGTTACTCCAAGTGTATGGTACTAATAATGAAGATGCAGCTGCAGAATCTGGGTTTATAACTGGTTTTGTTACTGCTGGGCCAAAAAACGGGGTAATTGTATGAGGAATTTTCCTGTCACATCAGAGAATTACCCATAATTATGTGATAAAATGAAAATGCCTCTAACAGAAGCACACTCTCTGAGCAATTACAGGGAAATGATGACAGGCAGCTGAAAGTGTTTGGCACTTATGGAGTATCGATCTTCCCCAGATGAGAGGGATAGCTATTGAACAACACAGATTGGAGGGTGTGGGGGTGGGGTGGTGGGAGGAGGCAGGGAGCGATGATGGAAAGGAGACAGAAGGAAAACAACAGAACACTTAGTCACCTGAGTTTTTCTTTACTGTGCACAAAACGCACTTTCTTCTTGTTCACATCTTTCCAGCTAAAATGGCCAGCTTTGTCCAGCTGAATCTCTTTTCCATTTCTGGAGAGCACTAGTTGACCATTGGTGGGAGTGCTTACAACATGGAACAGGAGATCTTCGACCCTGCCATCCTGGTCTTGGATGTTCAGGAGGGAAAAGTCCAGTGGCTTCATTGAACCAATTGCAAGGGTCAAGGAACCATTCACATGAAGACTAGGGGTGTGTATTTTTCCTGGAAAACATATGAATCCAGAGGTCAGCTTGTCCTATTCACCTAGCAGGTCTTTAGATCTGCTCCCCCCGCCCCCCCCTTTTTTTTTTGAGTAAATAGGCTTGTAATGTTAACTCAGGGCTACACAGATAAGATTCGAGGCTATTGTGTATCATAGCCTCCATCTAATCCAGTGGTTATCGTCCTAGGTGCACATGAGGATAGTACAAGCCTAATGTAAGAGTGAACCCATAAAAATTCTTAGAAGAAACTAGAGAAGTAGATTGATCAGATTTTGAATTAGGCAATGATTTCTTAGATTAGACAAAAGAAATACAAGTGACAAAAGAAAAATAGAAAAATTGGACATCAGCAAAATGAAAACTTTTGTGCTTGAAAGAACATTAATAAGACCATTAAAAGAACCACAGAATGGGAGAAAATATTTGCAACTTATGTATCTGAAAAGGGACTTGTATCTAAAATATATAAGGAACTCCTACAATTCCTACAATAAAAGACAACTCAATTTTTAAAATGGGCCAAGAATTTGAATAGGCATTTCTCCAAAGAAGATATATAAAAGGCCAATAAGTATATGCATAAGTGTGAAATAATATTAGTCATGAGGGAAATGCCATCAAAACCATGATAAACTATTAATTCACTTCTTGGAACATGGAACAGGAGCTCTCCAAAAGACAGTAAGTGTTAGTGAGGATGTAGAGAATCAGAACCATCATACATTGTTGGTAAAAGTATAAAATGATGCATGTGCTTGGAAAAACAGTTGGGCAGCTTTTGAAACAATTAAACATAGAATTATCATTAGGCCCAGCAATCAATTCCTAGGTATATACCCAAGAGAACTGAAAATACATGCCCACAGGAAAACACACAACTGTTCATAGCAGCATTGATAATAGAAAGTAGAATCAACTCAAATATCCATCAGTTGATGACTGGATAAACAAAAAGTAGTGTATCCACATAACATTACATTATTCATTCATAAAATGGAAAAGGAATGATGCAGAGACACATGCTACAACATGGATGAACTTTGAAAATACTATGATAATTAAAAGAAGCCAGATACAAATGGCCAAATATGACATGATTCTATTTATGTGAAAGGTCTGGAGTAGACAAAGTCATAGAAACAAAGTAAGTTAGTGGTTGCTTGGGGATGAAATGAGTGGGAAATGAGCAACGGCTGCTAACACTTATGTTTTGCTTGTTTGTTTATTTGAGAGAAACTTTTGCTATAGAATGCATGCACTTGCCAGAGAGAAAGAAAGCTAGAAATCATCCCCTAGAGGGTATGGCCACTCCACAACCCCTTCTTCTCCATTCTCCTCTCAAGATTTTGGGAATGCACACACATGTGCCTGGCACGAGTTTCAAGCCTCTGGGTCTGGGACTTGAACTGTGACTGGCCATGTGGGAGTCCAGCAACATAACCATTACTCCATCTGTTTGTCCCTGTTTGTTTGTTTCTAAGAGTGATAAAAGCATTCTGGAACTAGTTGGTGACCGTTGTATAATTCTGTGAATATACTAAAAAGCACTGAATTATATACTTGAAAGGGTAGATTTTATGGTCTACGAACTATATCTCAATAACATTACAGGTTGAGCATCCCTAATCTGAACATTCAAAATCCAAAATGCCTTAAAATTTGAAACTTTTGAGCACATACATGATGCTACAAGCAGCAAATTCCACACCTGACCTCACAGTCAAAATGCTGCAATACTTTTAAGCTATGTATATAAGGAGTATATAAAACATAAATGAATTTCATGTTTAGACTTAGGTCCCTTCCCCAAGAGATCTAATTAGGTGTATGTAACTATTTCATAATCCTAGAAAATTATCAATCTAAAACACTTCTGGTGACAAGTGTTTTGGATAATGGATACTCAATATGTAATAATCATAAAGGATCATATAAGGATCTTTGAAAACAATACTGACACTTGGGCTTCAGCCTCAGAGATTCTGATTTAGATGTTCTTGGAAGGAACCTCATTAATTTTATAAACTCACCAGGTAATCTTAATGGTTCCTCCGGTTTGTGAACCATAGTCCTATCTTGGTCACCTAACCCACCGTGAGTAACAAAAGAGGCAAGGCACTGTTTCCTAGAAGAGTCTCAGTTAATCTAACATAGAGTAGGCTTGTCAGTGGTTCGTATTCAGAATTCATGTGAAATATATATACTTTGTTTTAGAATTTTATCATCTCTGTCCACATAAAACATCTGACAAATGAATTATGATTTCCTGTAATAATGGAAAATTCATCCTATCTCATGGAGGTTGTTTTGCCTGGCCTTTAACTGGCTACGTTCTCTTCCACAGCTAGGTCAGACAGGACAGTTTAGGAATGCAAGTTACATGGGGATTACTTCCACAGTCAGGTTACTATAATGAAAGTGGAATTCACTTTCACAAATCGACTTGTATTACATCCAGAGGAGGAATAAGCTGACTCTCAAATATTTGAGGGTTCCTAAAGGTTCCCAATAAAAGAAGTCAAAGATAGTTTTCCCCTTAGGAAAGTCTGTAATATTTTGAGAGGCCACAAATACAAAGAGAAAATATGACTGACTGAGAGTGTTAACAGATGCCTAATATTATCGAACAATACGCAAAGGCAAAGGGATGATCGGTTTCAAGTACCAAAGCACAGTACCAAGTTTCATTCATCCATCAGACTTGGGGCTCAAAAGTAAGACTAATATCAAATTCATTTCTCTTTGCTGTTTAAGGCAAACTGTCTAATAGCATGCTGGGGGAAGTAGCTCCATTCCTTTAACCTGTCATCTCACAGTAATGGCAAACAGGGTGCCTTAAAATCCATCCACTTTCAACCTGTGAACCTAATGGGGCAGGCTCCTCACACTATTCATTTATAATTTACCTCCACTGTGTGCAAAAAGGATGCACCACTGTACCTTGGCGTAATTAACTCTACAAGTTTACACAGACATAAATAAATAATGTATATATAAATATACATGTAGTTTTATATATAAATATACATGTAGCACAGTTCCAGAATAGAGCATAATTTTACAACAAAAATTTTATCTGAAAAAAAAAATGATCTGATACTTGTGATTTTTTTTTTTTGATACTTGTGATTTTTAAAGCGCCAATTGCTCCTTTTTCTCTTCTAAAAATCATAGAAGTTGAATTTTCCTAATTTTCCCATGTTCTATAAATAGTTTTATATTCCTTAGCAGCCCCAGGAACATTTCCGGAGTGGAAATGTTGCATTTTAGATCATGTGAGTCAATTATATCTGCAAACTCAGCCTGTGCACAGTGAAATTATCATTATATTAACCACATCATCGGAGAAGAAGCACTTACCAATACATGTTTCATTAGAGGAGTGGGCAGAGAAGCCAGGAACACAGGTAGAAACACAAAGGCCACTCTTTAGAAAGAAGCCATGGTCACAGAGGTGACACCGGTCCCTGGAGCTGCACTGCAAGCACCCTCGAGGGCAGGCTAGCAAAGAGAGGACACATCAAGTGAGACACAGCCACCACACAGACATACAGCTTAAGGCTAAGGGTAGAGAAAGAAGAGGATTTCAATCAGAAGAGCTAGCACAAGCAATAAATGATCCCAACTGTAACAAAAGAGAAGTCTAAGATTCCTGGCATAATTTCATAGGGAGCTGATCTACCCTCAGAAGGAAACTGAATAGATGAACATGCCCTGTTCTATGCAATGTCATCTAAAAACATTGCACAGAGATGGATTGTTTAAAAAGTTAGCCATGCTGACTTGCAAGAGTTTACAATGATTAAGGGCATGGCCTCTTTCTTGGTACCCACTCCTCTACCCCTTAACCGGCTGTTGACCTTAGGAAATTTCCTTTTCACTTTTTTTTTTTTTTGTCTTAAAAATAAGAATAGTCAGGGACCAGCAGTTAGCGTAATGGCTATGTCGCTGGACTTCCACATAGTCGACCGCGGTTCGAGTCCCGGACCCGGTGGCTTAAACTCACACCAGGCACGTGTGCGTGCGTGCCCAAGATCCCGAGAGGAGAATGGAGGAGAAGGGATTGTGGCGTGGCCACCCACTCTGGGGGGTGATTTCCTGCTTTCTGTCTCTCTGTCTCTGTCTGTCTGGTGAGCACACGCACCCTATAGCAAAAACCTCTCCAAAAAAAAAAAAAAAAAAAGAATAGTAACAGCATCTAATACAAGAAATAGTAGGGAGAATTACATGTGGTATGATGTGAAGTGACTAAAACAGTGCACACAGAAGGTGCTCAATTGTTCTATGACTATCACTACTACTATTATTCTAATTGTTATTGGTGGCAATATTTTCAATAGTTTTTCTTTCTTCATGATAGACAGTGTGGGTGTACACATGAGACAGGGGGAGAGAGAGAGAGAGAGAGATGAGCACTCTCTCTAGGGTCTGGTTATGCCATGATCCACTATAGCTAGTCCTCCAGTCCACTGGATCCTGGGCATTCACACGAGTGCTCAGTGTTTTTCAGGCTGACCAGGCTGAGATTTCAACTGCAGAAGTCATGTGGGACCTGGCTTCTCTTGAGCAGCACGTTACTGCTGTACCCTAGAGCCAGCCTAGTAGTAGTAATTTAAATGCAGGAGAGCCAACTATGGAAAGAAATCATAGGATATTTATTTTTGGTCAAGTTAATAATTGAGTGTTTATTGCCCAATTTTTCTGCTTTGTTTGTTGAGAGGAAAAAACCTATCTCTTTGTAGAGAGGATGCATATTATAGTTTGAAGGGCTTTGTATATGGGACCAGCAGATGGCATAGTGGTTATGTCATTTGACTCTCACATGGCCAACCTATTTTGAGATCTGGACCCAGTGGCTTGAAACTCATACTGGGCATGTGTGCATGTGTGCACAAGATCCCAGGAGGAGAATGGAAGAGAAGAGATTGTGGTGTGGCCATCCCCTCTCGGGGTTGATTTCTCACTTTTCCTCTCACTATCTCTGTTCCTCTCTTTCTCCAGGAAATGCACAGGCCCTGAGGCAAAAACCTCTACCAAAGCAAGGAGGGGGGCCTTTGGATATACATCAGAAAACCTGGGCTCTATATCTGATTTAATATTGTCTTGATGAACACTTGTTAAGTCTTTTGTGCTATGTGACCATCTCTCCTGGGGTATGATTTCTTTTCTTTTTTTTTCTTTTCTTTTTCTTTTGGAGAGGTTTTTGCTATAGGGCGCGTGTGCTCACCAGACAGACAGAGAGAGACAGAGAGACAGAAAGTGAGAAATCACCCCCCAGGGTGGATGGCCACGCTGCAATCCCTTCTCTTCCATTCTCCTCTCGGGATCTTGGGCACGCAGGCACACAATGCCCAGCATGAGTTTTAAGCCACCGGGTCCGGGACTCGAACCGCGGTCGACTACATGGGAATCCAGCAACATAGCCATTACGCTAACTGCTGGTCCCATCTCCTAGGGTATGATTTCTTACCTTCTCTCTGTTTCTGTCTCCAGTAAGTACATATGCCCTAGGGCAAACAAAACAAAATAAAACAAACAAACAAAAAACTAATAAAATAAAATAAAATGGGGTCCACAGTGGGGTCAGCAAGTTGTATGGTGGTTAAGGTGCTAGACTCCCACAAGCCCTACCATGGTTCGAATCTCAGACTTGACAGCCTAAAAATCATACCTGGTGTGTGTGCCCACAATCCTGAGATGAGAATAGGGGAGAGGGCATTGTGGCATGGCTCTCCCCTGGGGAAATGATTTCTCACCTTACCTCTCACTGTCTCTGTCCCTCTCTGGTGAGTGCACGTGCCCTATGGCAAAAACCTTAAAAATAAATAGACAGACAGATAAAATAAAGATGGTTTAAAAAAAAAAGTGGGACCGAGAGTACCAGATTTGATAGAAATAAAGAGAACAAACAAGAAACTCTCTTAGATCATCCAGCGTACCAGGATATTAAGACTTTGGGTTTAACTTTCGTTTAATAATGAAAGCTCTAGTATGTCTCACTAAATTGTCCCCGAAAATCCAATTCTTCAAGGATATTATGCCAATATCAGGGTCATGGGTGATTTAGTCTACACATTGAAAATTCTGTGTCCATATCGATAGGGCTGATCCACTCTTAATGGACACCTCAGTGTAGTTCAATATAAGCTTTACATTTCATAAAATATTGGCTTCGTGTCCATAAAGACCTTTAGGGACAATATTGATTTGTGCAAGAGAATTATCGGTCTGCACTCTTATATCCTGTTTAACCAGCAACTGGCAGATGTGCACAGGAAGCCATCAATTACTGAGGCCAAGCTCCCAGGGTTTTCCTGCTGCTTCTAATTCACATGCTCTTGGTTACCTGAGAACCAGCATACACAACTTACTTGCTGCCCTCACTTCTTTCCAGAGTGCTCAGCCAAGCCCCCAAGTTACCTGTGCATTTGTGTTTTGCATGATCTGCAAAGTACCCCTTTCCACATTCCTGGACACACTGGGCTTCCAAGAGAAGAAATGGCTCTTCACAGCGGGTACACTCCTGGGGACCTTGGCATTGGACACAGTGGTTGTCACAGCCTGGAGGACAAAAGTCAAGTCAATAGGAATCTGTATGGCCTTCCAAGCGGTACCGGTAAAGCACTATATGTGGTGACAAAGACCAGGGTTCTGGTTGTACAGATTTAGCTGCCAGGGACTTGGAACTAGTCACTCTGCCTCTCTGAATCTAGTGTTCTTCCCTCTGAAAGGGAGTGGGAATACTGTTCCACTCATCTTCTCAAGTGAAGGCAAATTAAATAGTGGAACCTGGTAAATAAACTATGGCATGGCTGACAGATACTAGTAATTATTGCTATCCTAACTAGTCCTTGGCTCTCAGTACTATTTTGCTGAATTGTTAATCTTTCCTGACTAAGTCAGTTACCACAGTGTCCCAAGAATGCAATCTATATACTTCTGGTGGGATTTTCAGAGTCTGGGAATTTTGTGGTGTTAAATTGAAGTTAAAAGGAATAATGGACCAAAGGGAGGTGATAGTGAAGTTTATGGTTGAGAGGGCTGAGAGGCAGGTAGTGGAATAAAAGTCTTTACATGTGCTCAAATGCCAAGAGTTCACAGACCTCCCCATGTGGAGGACAAGACTGCTCAATTTTTAAGAAAATTCAAAAAAGTAAGGTCTGACACCTATTTGGCCGTATATCACCAAGACAGCCATATTGACCTTGAATTTAACAAATGCTATATTAGGGAATGGAAGAAGGATAAGGAAATATTTTTTATAATCACAAAGTCAGTTCTTAGGAAGGAAACCAGAGACTAGGTAAAAGCCCTAGGCTCCTTCTCAGAAGAGAAGAAATCAGAGGAGACCAAGGCTGGGTGAGCACAGAGCAGGGCCTCAGACACTTACTCTTGCAGAGGCCCACGTCCCGGTAAAATGCTGGTGCGCACTGCTCGACGCAGGCACCGTCCTGGAGAAAGTAGCCGTCCATGCACTGCAGGCAGTCCGTCCTCAGGGGCCCACTGCATGCATTGCAACTCCAGTCACACTCTGGAAAGAAAGCCTGCGTGAGACCAGCTTTCTTCCTGTCCTCCCTCAGTCCCAACGACTAATGTATGAAGACGCTGTCTACAGCTGTGAGAGGTAAAGCGAGGACATGGTAAGAGATGTCAGGTAAGCGAGCTCTAACGAGGTCTCTGCCTGTAGTAACCTGAATGCTTCTCTGAAGTTTCGTGTTTCCTAATTATGTTAGACGCGGACGTGTACAAGGAGCACTCATGCCTGTGCAGATCCTGCTTGTCAGGAGGGCCGCCGAAGAGTCAGATCACCTTATTCTTATTCCATGGGCCCCGGAGCTCCTTATCCTTGTGCCATGCCAAGTCTTCATGCAAAGCCTGCCACAGTGAGTGGCCAACTTGTCCCACAAACCTAATCCTGACCTCCTCCAAATGCTCAATGCTCAACAAGTGAAGAGATCAGAGACTCAACTAAGAATATATCCACTGTCACCAGAGACACCAGGCGCATGCCTTCGTATTATAGCTCTCAAAAAGAGTTGTTCACTAATACAACAGAAAGAACCAATGATGTCAGAGTTAAGTGGACATAAAGAAACTGTCCAGAAAGAAAAGCTTACTGAGACAATAGCAGCTCTCATTTAGGGCAGGACAACTGACTTCTTTTACATGTTTATTTGCTCAACCAGTATCTATGGAGTGGTCACTGAACTGAAGGCGGTTAATACAGACCCTCAAGGAGCTTGTATTCTAGTTGCACTCAATCTTGGTTATGCACCTGTAATAAATAATCCAGGAGGATTGTTGGCAAAAAGATGATCAGGTTCAACATCAGGCCGACTGAGTCAGAGCCTCAGGATTTGAGGCATAGAAAATATACTGGTGCTCTTGTTGCTTTGTTATAAAAGATTGCTGTGTAGTTGTCATTGCAACTGCTGTAGTTTTTAATGGCCCAGAAAATTCTGATGTAGTTAAAAAGTTCATGTTTGAAAGCCAACGTTCTAGCTGATAAATTAAGTCCTTAATGTATGGAAGATGGGGAAGGAAAACATGGTTAAGTACATGGAGTTTGGAATTGGACAAGCTGGTATGGAAATCATGGCTTTGCTAATTTTTTTTTTTAATTGTCTTTATTCATGACAGAAGACATGCGTGTGCACTAAATGGGGGTGGGGGGTGAATCCTCTCCAGGGTCTGGTCACTCTGTCATCCCTTGTCCCAGTCACCCAGCCCATCTAATCTTAGGCACTCATGCACGTGCCTGGCATGTTTCCAGCAGGCCAGACTAGGGATTAGTACTGCAGTCGCCAGATGGAATCCAGCTTCTCTTCAGCAGCACATTACCACTGCACCACAGAGCCAGCCCAGGGCTTTGCTACTCCTCTGCATTATCCTATACACCTTTCTCAAACTCTCTGAGCCTCAGTTTCCTCATCTCTAAGACAAGAATAAGAGTAGTACCCATTTTATAAAGATATTGAAATAATGCAGGTAAAGAATGTAGTGCAATGTCTGGCATATAGCGACAGCTTAATAAATGTTTGCTGCAGTTCTGTTTTTGTTAGAGAACCTATCTCCACTCAAGGCTGCCTTAAACCTCACCTACCTCCCTACTAATAACAAGCTGGGGAAGCCTCTTATTAGTCACCTTTTTTCTTCCTTGGTGCAGTATTTCTAAGTCCCAGAAAAGCAGGTAAATGTGCAAGACAGTACACGTGCTTCCAAGAAGCTGTGTAGTTGTCATTGCAACTGCTGTAGTTTTTAATGGCCCAGAAAATTCTGATGTAGTTAAAAAGTTCATGTTTGAAAGCCAACGTTCTAGCTGATAAATTAAGTCCTTAATGTATGGAAGATGGGGAAGGAAAACATGGTTAAGTACATGGAGTTTGGAATTGGACAAGCTGGTATGGAAATCATGGCTTTGCTAATTTTTTTTTTTAATTGTCTTTATTCATGACAGAAGACATGCGTGTGCACTAAATGGGGGTGGGGGGTGAATCCTCTCCAGGGTCTGGTCACTCTGTCATCCCTTGTCCCAGTCACCCAGCCCATCTAATCTTAGGCACTCATGCACGTGCCTGGCATGTTTCCAGCAGGCCAGACTAGGGATTAGTACTGCAGTCGCCAGATGGAATCCAGCTTCTCTTCAGCAGCACATTACCACTGCACCACAGAGCCAGCCCAGGGCTTTGCTACTCCTCTGCATTATCCTATACACCTTTCTCAAACTCTCTGAGCCTCAGTTTCCTCATCTCTAAGACAAGAATAAGAGTAGTACCCATTTTATAAAGATATTGAAATAATGCAGGTAAAGAATGTAGTGCAATGTCTGGCATATAGCGACAGCTTAATAAATGTTTGCTGCAGTTCTGTTTTTGTTAGAGAACCTATCTCCACTCAAGGCTGCCTTAAACCTCACCTACCTCCCTACTAATAACAAGCTGGGGAAGCCTCTTATTAGTCACCTTTTTTCTTCCTTGGTGCAGTATTTCTAAGTCCCAGAAAAGCAGGTAAATGTGCAAGACAGTACACGTGCTTCCAAGAAGATTTATAAAGTTAATCTCACTCATTTATTTAGCTGAATCAGTCCTGAGGGAAAAATGACTAAAACACAGCCTTGGAAACTGCCAGCATCGTTATGAAATCATTTACAACAGGGAGGATTTGCGATCATCTTGTTTTTCACCACAAACTGACAGCCACTGGTTAGAAGGAAAAAAAAAAAAAAAAAGAAAAGCTTCTGTGGTCTTGAGCACAGCAGACCACCTAAGTTGACAACCAAGTAGAATTTCTTGGAATGGAAAGTGTGCAATTTTGCAGAGTCTTAAAGCATCCCAAGTTTACTTGACAGATGTCCGACCTCCGTCTCTGAGCTTTACCTTCTCTGGCAGAACCAGAGGGGTTGAGGGAAATAAGGAAGGAGGACGGAATAAAGAGGGAAATAGAACAAGATCAAGTATGTTTCTCCCCCTTGCCGAGCACCACCATTCAAAGAGCATAAGCCCCAAGGTCAGGCCATATAGCACAGCAGGAAAGCAGCCCTGAGCGAGGCTGACCTGCATGGGAAGGTTCTGGGGTCACTCTTGGAGACCTCCCTGAACACTGGACAGACATGGCTGGCTGAAGTTAGGGGTGGACTGTGGCAGGGAAACCCTGTGTGGGTACCTGTTTTCTGTCTCTTTCTCTGTCTATCTCTCTTTCTTGCTCTCTCATGGAAGAAACAATTACCTTACAAAAAGAAATAGGACCAGTGGCACAATAGTTAAGGCAGCTCAATTCCACATGGCTGACTGCACAATTCAATCCTGGACCCAATGGCTTGAAAAACATTCTAGGCATGTATGGGTGTGTGCCCAAGATCTGGAAAAGTGGGGAGATGAAGAAGGGATTACAGCATGGCCATTCCCTGTTGTGGGTGCATTCTCACTTTCCCTCTCTTAGTTTTAGTCTCTCTCCATTGAGCACATGCACCCTCTGGCAAGTTACAAAAAGAAAATTAAAAAAGAGTATAAGCCCTAAGAATTCCAACTACTTGAGAACAAGGCAGGAGGCACACTGGTTTTGAAATGATTTCCTTATAAATTCCTTGTAGCCGGGAACTGTGTCTTCACTCATTTAAATATGTGGGGGTCACATATTCATGGATTTCAAATTTTTTACACCAAAAATAAATTCATACTTTAATTCTATTTTTCATAAACTTCTGAAGTTCCTGTATATGTTAAACAGAGATGAATAAGTCAGATATAACTGCCAACCTTGTTAAGCTTAGACCCTACCCTAGCAATTCAGAGTTGTAAATGCATACCTACATAGCCTAGGAAGGTAATATAAATCCTCAGGTAGGGTTGGTGTAATAGAATAGGGAATTGTGGGGACTGCAGTAAACTGAAAAAAATCATGTCCCATCTAGCAAGGATGACATAGTTCCCACTTACTGTCGCACTGTGAGAATGTAAATCCAGGATGGCCAGATCTTCTGATTTTTTGTTTTGTTTTGTTTTTATCCAAAAGAAACTGAAAATCTCAATGTTTGTATATGAATTCTTCTGATGTTTAAAGACAAATATTTAAAGATTATAAAATATGGGAAACAGCAGTTAGCGTAATGGCTATGTCACTGGACTCCCACATAGTCGACCGTGGTTCGCGTCCCGGACCCGGTGGCTTAAAACTCACGCCGGGCGCGTGTGCGTGTGTGCCCAAGATCCCGAGAGGAGAATGGAGGAGAAGGGATTGCGGCGTGACCACCCCCACTAGAGGGTGATTTCTCGCTTTCTCTCTCTATGTCTCTCTGTCTGTCTGGCGAGCACACGCGCCCTATAGCGAAAAAACCTCTCCAAAAAAAAAAATTATAAAATATTAGAACATTAGATGCACCAAACAAAACATGCCTATGGGCCAAATATAACCTGAGGGTTTTCAGTCTGCTGCATCTGATCCCATTATGAATACCAAGCATAATATCTAGCACCTAGTAGGTGCTCAAAAATATTTCCATAATTAATAAGTAAATGAAGGAAGAAATGACTCCATCCAACCACCCATAACCCCTGCTATCATCACATAATGACTGGTATTATCCCAACATGAGGGGACTGGACGTACATTACTGCGTAGAGAATCCTCTCACAATTCAGGAAGAGCTTTACCTTTGCAGGTGTTGGTAGAGAAGTCAAGGTAGTACTGGGGTGCACAGCTCTCATATTGACATTCCCCAAAGAGCAGAACCTTGTTTGGATCTCGACAGGAGGTACAGCTGGCCTGTGAATCACAGCTTCGGCAATGTGTGTCGCATGCTGAGTGGAGAGGGAGAGGAAATGACCAGATGATTACAATTGCAAATACCCAAGCACTGATCAAACCAAGACAGATGCTCCAAGGAACAAAGCCCCACTTCCACTGATTCTTTAATTATGGCTCATAACCCTCCCCATGATAAACAGAAACAGAAAGTATTAGTTTTGTTTCCCAAAATAACAAAGAGTAACTTATTTTCCAGAGAAGATAATTTATAAACCAAAGAACATAAATCCCACATCCAAATTACCCCATGATTCAGCTATAGAATTTGTATTTATTGTACGATCTCCAGAATTATAGTGTGGAGTTTTAATGGAAACTTACTTTTTAAGGCATCAAGCCCCCTATAGTTCATGATGAAAATTCAGATTTTTGTGAAAACCAAGATTAAAATTAGGCATTAACTTTATTGTGGAGCTTGGGAAAGGCCATATTTTAAGATACCAAGGATTTAAAGGTGGCCTGCCTTACTGATTTGTCCAGTTGTCATTCTTAGCAACCAGCCCCATAATTCAGGCATGCTGAGATGATCCACCGATCTGGTCTGGCTTGCACATATCCTAATTTAACAACTGGCCTTTCTCCATCTGCTCAGTTGTTTATGTAAGAAACCTTGAAGTCTGTTTTGACACCTTCCTTTCTCTCTCTCTTAATACAATCACCCAGTAGGCCTACTTATTCAATATAAAGCTCAATACATTTTTGTCTTCTTCATATCCACAAATGCCAATACCTCTGAGCACCACCATCCTCCCCTGCTGGACACTTTTCTAGCCTCCCAGTTGGTTTCCCTGTATCTAGTCTGAAGCACCCACTTGCCCCACTTCCTTGCAATCTTTTTCCATGCATTTCTCACAGTGATATTTTATTCACATTGCTTAGGTTTTGAAGTACATTCTCTTTTACAAACTCGATTATCTTTCTTTAGTCTTGGAAAATTTACAGCCATTACTTTTGCTAATATTGTGTCTCTACCATTCCCTCCATTCTCTCTACCTAGAAATCCCCACACACATAGATGAATCCTCTTAACATAAAAGTCAAGTCTGTTGGTCTTTAACTCTTATTCATCCTTCAGTCTTGTCTTCTGGAAGGTCTTCACTGACTCTCCATCCTAGAACAAGTCTCCCAGGTACAAACTTTTACAGCATCCTATACAGTTCTTTCATGTCACGTATAATTCATTTAAGTGGGTATTTGTTTAACATCTGGATCTTTTAAGCTGTAATCTATAAGCAAAGACCAGGCTCGTTTTGTTCCTTGCAACATTCCCTAGCACCTACGTGGTTATCCATCATATTGTAGATGTTTAATAAACACTTCCTACACACAAGTGAAAGAAGCCAGATATTGTTTAATATATACAAAAGCACCAGCATCTATGGCTCATTCTAAAAATCTCCTCTAAGAATGTGTTGAAAGAAAAGTCTGGAGAGTGATCCAGTGACTTTTAGATCCATAGGATATCACAGTGCAGGGAAATTACCACCCATAAAATCAAAAGAAATAAAGTACTCTTTTCCTACAAGGAAAGCCATTACTATAAAACATATGTTAAAATATGTAAGTTGGTAATACAAGGGCCTAGAAAAATTCTGGACTGGATTTTCAGATAGTTTGGGAATAAACAGAAAAGACTACTTCAACTGTTGAAAGCTTCTATGAGACTAAACTGTCTTTTTAATTTTTCTTTTTTTGCTACAATTTCTATGCATGTTGTATCTTAATTCTGGCAAAGAATTTGACACAAACTCCAAATATAAACTCATGAATACAAAAATGAAGTGAGGCTTAAACATTACAGGGGAATTTGAAGATGGCTGAAATGTATCTTCAAAACATGATCAATTAAGCTTTGTAAATGGAAAAAGAAATGTCCTTACTAGACTATTATCATGATCAAGCCTTAATTTTTAATTGATCAATATTTTTATTGATGACTTAAATGACACAAAGAAATCATGCTAATAATATTTAAATAAGCCCCATACACCTATACCAAAGATGCACAGCTAAGTTTCACCACCTAGAAGAACAACCATTGAGTAATTTTCATCAGTTGAAATAATAAACCTAAAGTAATCAAGCAAAATATACAGCATTATAAGTCTTGCATTTATGTTCTTTTTTCTTTCTTTTTTTTTCTTTTTGGCCATAGGGCACATGCGCTCACTGGAAAAAGACAGAAAGAGGGAAAATGAGAAATCACCCTCCAGGGAATGTGGCCACACTGCAATACCCTGTCTGTTCTTCTTCTGAGATTCGGGGCATAGATGCACATGTACCAGTGTAAATTTCAAGTCACCAGGTCTAGGACTTCAACTGTGGTCAGCCATGTGGGAGTCCAGCTGCCTTAACCTCCATGCCACCTGCTGGCCCTATTACCTCCTTTTTAAAAATTCCTACCTCAACTAGTCACTCTTAAATTTCAGAGCTCAGTTAATAGGACATACTTTCTAAAAATTCTGTAACCAGAATCTCAAAAGTATTCCAGTCCCTACTTGCTTCAATAATAAGGTTACCAATCAATATTCTCTAATATCAATTATACTTTCTCAGAAATTCTCTACTGCACAATTTATGAAATTGGCAAGCCCATAAACACACACACACACACACACACACGGAACTCAAATACTGTATCCTAACTTAAGGGTATACTTTATTTAATCTTAGAAAGAATGAAACTTAAACACTAAAGTTAGGAGATTCTTAATTCAACTGACTCTGTGAAATTTTATTTAATGGCAGCATAGCAAGTGCATTGTACAGTGACCACCCTGCACCAAGGCAAAAGCTTCCCAGAAGAGAAATAATTCAATGCAATGTAGCTTCGTCACCTTTGCTTCATACAGGGGATTCTATTTTTTCTTTTGAACTTTTATTTCTGTGATTCCACTGCTGTGAAGAGCCTCATAAATCTAAGTCACTATTTCTCTACCAACCCTCTCTTGCTCTTGAACAGGACATGCAAGTATTTCATTCCTGTCTCTCGTATTACAGAATCTACAGATTCTGGCAGACAGTTGATATACTACCAAGCAAAGCTTTTGTTACAAAAGCAATGAAATCTTCCCATTGATCTGAAAGAGGTTTTTATCTCTGGTAGTTCAACAGATGATAGGAAACGGTGAATTGGACATAACTTTGTTTGAAATGCAAATCTTTGCAAACATCTCAATGAACTAACAGTATTATATATTTTACCCCTAAAATATAAATGTCTTTGACTGCTTTATTTACTTCTCATTCCAGATGTTGTTGATGATGATGATAACAACAATAGTTAATTTATAAGAAGAGTTTATTTTCTGCTAGGGTCTAAGTTAAGTGCAACTATCCCAGAACGTAGATAGTGTTACAGTCTTCCTTGTACAACAAATAATAATAATAATAATAATAATAAAACTAAGGGCCTATTTGGCTAAGTGACTTGTTCAAAATCATAAAGTTGATACCATGGCAGCTTAGGATTTGAACTTCTGTCCCTGACTCTAGAGCCCACTTTCCTAACCACTGCCCTGTAATTCCTTCAGTGTGAACCATCCAAAAACATAAAATGGACATATTGGCACTGTAACTGGGTAAGTGTCATTTTCAAAAGCTTAACAATATTTTTTTTTTCAAATGACACCTCAGTGATTAAAGTATCACAGCTATCACAAATATTCCTTCATCTGTAAAAGATTTTCTAATTTTTTTCCACTTGTATTTGCCCTTTCTCTAGTTTACCCTAACACTTTGTTTGTGCCTGACTTGAGGTAATTAATCATATTCTGACTTACTTGAGAAATAAGGCATCTTTACAAGCAATTCTCATGCAAGACAAAATAACTACTATTTGAGCAGAAAGTCAGAATTTTGTAGCACATAAGCCTTGCCTATTGTCAATTCTCAATGAATACATATATTAATAGGAAACAAATTCAATTCAGACATACGGTATAGTTCACTGATTACATTCAAGGGTGGGCACTATTCTCTACCCAGGATCACAAAATTAAACTGGTGAGAGAAACCATAAAGATGAAGTGAACTAATCCTTTCATTCTTAAAATGTAATAACTAGATCAGAAAGGTTAAATAACCTGCCCAAGATCACACAGCTAGCACTTACCACGGAGATCCCCAGCCCAGACCTTTAAATCAGGCTGACATCTGAGTTATAATCTAGCAATGGCATCCACGTTGCCTTTGTGGATCCGTTTTTTTTTTTTTTTTTCTGTTCTAAAATAAAGGCTACCAGGATGGGCCTGTGTAGCAGTTAAGCACTGCACAGAGGAAACCAGATCCAACATGGTTGTCCAGGGTTCGAGTCCTGGCCCCAGCAACTTGGAAAAAAAACACATCTGCTGAACACACAAGTTCAGGTTCCCGACAAGATGGAGAATTGGAGGCAAAAGGATTGCTGTTGGGGGGAAGGGAGACCTTTTTCTCTTTCCTTCTCTTTCTTTCTCTCATGCACATGCACACACCTTCTAGCATTAAAAAAGAAAAGAAAAGAAAGAAAAAGAACAACAATACAAAGGCTACCAGGTGAGAAAATAGAAGACAGGGCTTCATAATTCTTTCAATGGCCCCAGAAGGGCAGGAAGGAGATAAAGTTCATTTAAAAAAACCTACGCTGGCAAGCACGGTTGTCATCAAGATAGTGCCCAGGGAAGCAGGTGGTGCTGCAGGTGCCAAGGTGTGACAGAACGAGGTTGGTGTCACACGAGGAGCAGGAGAAAGGTCCTCTGCCCTGGCAGGTTTTGCAGGAGGAATGGCATTCTGCAGAGAGAAAAGAGAAGCTGTGAAGTCAGTCTCCCCGCCACAGTCGCATCCCATGGCCAGTAACAAAAGCTCCATCCTGAGAGCACTCGCTGTCTGGTTTAGGGTCCCATGGTATGCTTCCTGCTTCCTCACTCTTGTGAAGCCCAAGGCTTCCCAGTTATTGCTCCAAAGAGAAACTCACATGGCACCTGTGGCTCCTGAACCCAGCACTTACTCACTTTTACAAGCTCCCATCTCTGCATAGTATCCAGAAGGACAGTCAGAAACACAGTGGTCCCCGAGCAGCAGGTGGCGGACACTCTGGCACCTCAGGCAGATGCTCCCGGTGCTGTGGAGATGAGCTGCACAGTGCTGGCACAGAGGATGGCAGTCTGCAAAGGCCAGGGGGGCAGAGAGAAAGCACATGAGCACAGCAGCTCACGAGCACAGCCTGATCACTACAGCAAAGGGCAGGAGGGATTTCAATTACCAACACGGCAGCTCAGACAGTGGAGAGTAGCCCAAAGGCAGTATCTGTCAGTGAAGCGGAAGCATGGGACCTGCACAAATGGTGTGTTTGAGGGTTTAGCAAACGGTCAGTCCCAGCACAGCGATTGAGTTTTCATCGCTTTTCAATTGAACAGCCTTCAAATACTAGGGCACTGTGTGATAGATCCTAGCTAGGGGCACAGAGAGAACTGTCAGATTAACAGAAACAGCGTGAGCAAGACTATCGACATCTCCCCAGACAGCGCTGGGATGGAGTGGCATTGTGGGCCCCACTCACAGTGCTCCTGAGTGGTGGGGGTTCCTGAGCCCTGCACGTGGCTCCTTCTCAGAAATTTGAACTTTCGTTGTCAGTACACCAGCTCTAGCCTTCAGTACAGAGGCACTGTGGTTACCAAGTATTGGATTAAGTTGGTGGAAAGTTTTAGTCTTTAACTAGAGAGATGATTATGAAGACGGGTTGAGAGCTGGAAAGTCAGTCCCATATGTGGTCCACAGCAGCTCTGTGCTACTAGTTATGATTAAAGCTACAAAACACGTTCTCTGGTACAGGTAGCAGTGTTTCTTGTTCTCACTCACAGAACAGTCTTCCTCTAAAAAGAACTTGTGCTCAGCTTCCATGGTAGGAAAACTTCACCCTGCTTTCAGTGGTAGTAACCCTTAAAGTCCCATGTACCATCTTTTATTCCAAAGACAAAAGAAGCCCCACAAATCCTCAATTACCCACCAAAATAAAATAAAGATCTAGGAAAACAGAAGAAAGTTCTGGCAATAAAACTTTTCCATTGGGACCAGCAGTTGGTGTAACGGCTATGTCGCTGGACTCCCACGTGGTCGACCGCGGTTCGCGTCCCGGACCCGGTGGCTTAAAACTCACGCCGGGCACATGTGTGTGCGTGTCCAAGATCCTGAGAGAAGAATGGAGGAGAAGAGATTGCAGCGTGGCCACCCCCCCTGGGGAGTGATTTCTCGCTTTCTGTCTCTCTTTCCTTCTCTGTCTTTCTGGTGAGCTCACAAACCCTATAGCAAAAACCTCTCCAAAAAAAGGAAGAAAAAAATTAATAAAACCTTTCCCTCTTTCCTTGTAGGGGTCAAAGTCCTCGTTTGTACTTGTAATGTTGTAATGTACCAGTCAAGGCCCAAATGTGTCTCATTATTATCTCAAAACCTTGCAGATAGATTTCTAGCAATATTTTCACAAAAGAAAAAAAAAATCATGTCCATTAAAGAGACTGCCTACCCCTGAAATCTGTTGGAGCAGGTCTTTCTTTGTCACGCTCAGTGATACCTCCTTCATTGCTGATCATCTGGACAATGCTCAGGACAGAGACCTCACCCCCATGTTCAGCGCCACCAATCCATATGAGAAGCCTTTCTGCAACTTTAGAGCCACCCCGGGAGTTAAGCCAAAAGTGTCCTCAAAAATGCTGATTTTCAGCAGCACACAAACTTAACAGCCTCTGACCCTTCTCTGAACTTTAGGAGGTTCAAATTACGAGCAGCTTTTTTTTTTGCCAATATTAGGAACAATTCATGATATCCTGGGAGCCACATTAATCCTCATTACAGCCTTTCAGTGAGTAATACAGGAAACCCTGGCTGTAGCGAGGGAAATCTGACAAGGTGGCTCTTTCCCCTGATTCGGTGTCTGGTTTCCACAGAATGCCAAGCGTTTTGTTCTCTTTTCCCAGTGCCCTTCTCTCCATGCCAGGAACACAATCCGAAGTGTGCAAAGGGAAATTTAAACACATCTTTGGAAGTTGCAAGAGCAGATGAAGGTGACAGTGTTTTCTGATGATCTTACTGAGTTGGTAGATCTTAGGATTGGAAGCCTAGAAACACTACAGATTCCAGATTCACCATTATTTGAAAAGCCGTGGCCCCTTCCTCTTTAGAGCACATACTTACAGAGCTTGCTGGGCCTGGGCATGCATGGACAAGACCTGCAGGTGTTCAGTGGTCTAAAGACTAGTTGCATCTAAGTGAAGCTTTCTCTAGCATGCAATTAGAGAAATGAAAAAGAATAATCACCATGGGGATGCTTTGAAGAGAAAGTAAGCAGATCTCTGTAGTATTTTGTGGGTACAATAAATAAATATTTATGGATTTGTCTGATCCTGGGGATCTCTAGAAGCTGTTTATATGAGGAGTGTAATGCATATTAATTACTTCTCAAGGAAGCTGGAGCTCGGTTATGAACGTTCCTTTCCAGCACCCTGCAGGAGCTTTTAAACCCTTCCTACTCTTCTCAAGTCACCACCCCCACACTGCCCTCCCGTTCATGTCTTCCCAGGGGATCTCGTTTACTTCACTCAGCTCATCAAGCACGAGCACTTTCAATTCCTCTCGACCTCAAAACATACACATTTACCCATTTTTATGTCATTTCCTCCCATCTCCAGGGCAAAATGGCTAATTCCTCCACCTACATTCTCGATCCACTTTCAACACTACTGCCACTTTTGTCTTTCATCATACCTCACTGTCTCCTTCACCTCAGTTTCCAAACATGCTCTGTACCATCTACTGCCCCCAAAGTTTTCCTGTACAAACACCCCACCTCTTGCTTTTCTTTCACCATCCAACTTCCTTGCTCCTTCCACCCCCAACTCCTCTCCTCACTGTTACCTGCCTTCAACCTCCAGAATTTGTGAGACAGGTCTTGAAAAAAGTCTCTACTAGCCTCTTAACTGCCAAATCTAATGGCCTCCTCTAATTCCTTGTCCTACCTAAAAATCTCTGCAACTCATGACATTTTTGACTAGCCCTCCTCTGTGAAGCCCTCCACGTCCTCTCTGAATGTGGCTGATCTTGGTTGTTCCACTTGGTTTTCCCTGCCTCTGACTAGCAAATGTAGGGATTTCTCAGAGTCCTGACATCTTTTATCCTCCTACCAAGTCTCTGTAGGATTTAGATCAGACTTGGGTATACAGACACCAGAAGCCACTGAAAAGGGCCCAAGAGGTGCAGATACTGAAGTAACTCAGGGTCTCTGCCCCCTTCCATAGCTCCATGTTAAGCCATATGAAGGCATCGAATCAATACCCAGACATACCCCAGTACATGATGGAGTGAAGACTCAGAGGCAAGAAAAACCCAATAAATGACACCTGAAAATAATCAATTCTAGATAGCCCAGAGAATAAGATTAATCCAAGTCAGTTTATGGTTCCAGCTCACACAGGAAATTATAACTACCTGAGTTTGGGAAGTTGGGCTTGCTAATTCCTCCACTCCGCCCACCATCTGTGATCATTCTATGGTTTAAAAGGTCATATATTGAACAGCCAACCCCATGAATAGATGCCTTCTCAAATAACAGCCTGAGTGGGTTCTATGTTAATCCATTCATGTATACCCTTCCTCCCAATTCTGTCATATACAAGCCCCTCACAGAAGACCGTTTACATACATGTGCTCTGAAATCCTGCTCTGAAGGCTTGTTGACTGATTTTTGTTAAACAAAGCCCAAAGAGAATAAGGTCCTAAAGCCTAGACAACACCTTTGTCTTCAGAGGCTTTAAGTCAAAATACCTTTGTAGAAAAGAATTCCTTGAGAGACCTCAAAATGAGTAATGATGTACAGGGAAAGGAGCCAGAAATCAGAGCAACGAAGGCTTCAGGATTAATACCAGTGTTCTGACTTGCAACCAGAAAAGCAGAGTGCCAGTGGGCTGACACTGAACTCAGACAAGACAGGCTTCAAGTGGCCACCCCTGGGGCACCACCTGTGAGCAAGCTTCCAACTCAAGGCCAGGAAGCCACTGTGACCTACACAGAAGAGGGGCCCTGTGAGGCATGCCCAGGGACCTTGGTTTACTTTTCTGACTCCAAAGTAAGCCATGAAAGAAAATATAAAAAAAAAAATTTTATAAGGTATAAACATAAAAGTCCTAAGAGTGACTTTTCACTCCAGTAACTACTAACATTAAAATTTGTTCTTCTAGGAACCAGCAGATGGTGTAATGCTTACATTGCTGGACTCCCATGTAGTTGACCATGGTTTGAGTCCGGGACTCGGCAACTTAAAATTCACACTGGGCGCATGTGTGTGCATGCCCAAAATTCAAGAAAAAAATGAAGGAGAAGGGATTGTGATGTGGTCATTCCCTCTTGGGGGGGGTGTTTTCTCACTTTCTGTCTCTCTGGCTCTTTCTGTCTCTCTGGTGAGCACATTCACCCTATAGCAAAATTCTCTCTCTCAAAAAAAGTTGTTCTTCTAGTTCTGTATATATTAGATATATTAGATTTGCCTAGATGAGATTATATTACATGTGGTCACATAGGGCTTTTTTTAAAATTTAATACCATCAACATTTTCACATATCTTTAGAGAGTCTTTGTAAGCATAATTTTTAGGGTCTATGTGATATTCTAGCACTGAGTATACGAACAAATAATGCTATTTTTCTTACACCTTGAACATTTACTTTCTAGTTGCCTCTACTTTTATAGTTAAAGCTATGATAAAAATCTTTGTGCATATAGCCAGATGGTGGCATAGCAGTAATGAAACTGGAACCACATGGGAAGAGCCTGAATTCAAATCCCAAGGCCTCTTTGAGCATACCAGGCATGCATGAGTATATCCATCTGGGCTAGCTGAGGCTGGGGTGGACTGTACCATGAGGACTCCATTGGAGGTGACTCTTTCTCTCCTAGAAGAAGTAATAAATAAACTCAAAAAACCCCTTTGTGTGCATTCCAGAATATGTCTTAAAGGATAGCATCAAAGGAGTAAAATTCATATTATTATTATAGCTTACATTTATAGAGCTCTGAACATATGTAACGCCCTGTACTAATTATTATAAATGCATAATCTCATTTGAAGAGATCGACTAGACAATGTAATTATCCCTATTTTATAAATGAAGAAACAGAG